GCCAAAGCGAGGCATTCTTCGAATTGCTCGACCGGCATCTTAGGAACGACAAAATTGTTGAACCATGAAGAAGTGGACCAAATCTTGCTTGCAGGAGAACCAGCCTTCTCCAACATTTCATGAACTGGATCTGCCAGAGAGATCCGTTCGACCTGCGTAGAAAGGTGGACGGTGTTGGTCTCACCTGCAGTCATGTTAGTCTCCTGAGCAGCCTTGAAATGCTCAGAGAATTGATGCAGCTGATCAGATCCGAACCGATCGTCGATCACCATGGCGTCAAATTGATCCTGATGAGGGACCTGTTGAAGCGGCTGTGGCTCCTGAATGGCTTGAGAAGACCCGGAATCTTGAGCAATGGTGGTGGAAGGAGTGGGTTGGGGATTCTTCCTTGCTTTCTTCTGTTTCCCGACCCCACCCGCTGCTAGAACACGGTTGTTGTGCATGGTAGCGTCTGGATTGGGAGCTAAAAAATAACAAATGAAAATGTTAGTACCGAGCGGCCTTATCACGTGGGAAACAAAGAAGAAGAGAACGTTTCTCGCACGGGAAGGACTGCCCGGATCATGGCACTTGATTCTCAAAACAAGTAAACCCAAGAGAACGGGCAGTACCTATCCCGGCTTCGACAAGCCGATTGGGAGTCAAGTAACTCATGATATTACAACATTTGTCTTTCTCCACAGCGAACACATCCTTGTAAATTTCCTCAGTAAAGACTGGATCGAGAGATTTGCGAGGGAAGGCATTCCATTTGCGAGGGATCAGGCCGTCCAGGACAGACACAAAGAAGAACAGATCTTTCCACCCCTTGATTGAAGTCATATTCCCCTTAAACAGGATATGTCCCGTTCGGGCACTAGTAGCCAGATATCCATGTGTTTGTTGGGGGGGGGGCTGATATTCATGTAATTTCCATATTTATTTTTGTGTTTTTAATTAGTTTTGATTGATTATTACTTTGGAAATTACACACTTTTGGTGTAATAGTTTAGTTTGTAAAATACTTGTAAATTATTTAGATTAGGTTTACTCTGAGCTCAAACAGGTCCATGATCACTCAAGGGACAGTTGGTGAAGCCCAAAAATAGAAGGAAGGTGCAAAATCACAAGACAAAATAGAAGATCCTGATTTTTTGGTCTATACCCGGTCGGGTATGACATATACCCGATCGGGTACCTTGTTGAAAAATCAAATCAGATCGGATCCGGAACAAGGCAACATGCAAGAAAATATTTGACCACGTTCGAATGTCATACCCGATCGGGTGACCGACATACCCGATCGGGTATGCCCAACTTTTCGAGCTTCTGGGAAGCCACTGAAGGTACCCGATCGGGTGCCCTTGATGCCTGATCGGTTACACACCCCTGCATGCTCCAAAAGCCTATAAATACCCGCCTTTCCTTCCCACAAAGATTACCAATTCACATATACTTCTTAGCTCAGTTTAGACAAGCTCTTTCTTTATATTTTCTTCATGTTTAGTCTCCAAATGAGGAGCTAAACTCTTCCATCTTGGTTTGCTACTTTGAAGCTTAATGAATTTGTAAGTTGTGAATTATTTTCTTTAATCTTCTTCCTTGAATATTAATTATTTCCTATTCATATTCCATATTAATATTTTGAGCATTACTTAAAGGATCAACTAGTTTTGTTTCATATATTAATTATTACTAGAATCAATCGATTAATACGCTTGTTATTAATTCGGTTCTTTCAACGGTAGTAAAACACTGATTATTAATGCATGCGTCTCATGGTTAATAATCTAAGGGGAATTAATTATATTGATTAAACCAATAAACCTCTTGTGTTGAGGTTATCAATCTCAATCGTTTTCATCTTAAGTTTATTGCTACTATCGGGCTAATATACGACGCTTGTTCTATATTAACCCAGTAGTAAGTTTATTAATGAACGCGTCTCGTTATTAATAACTACCCTCGATGAACTGGATATACTCTTCGATTGAGTATTCGAGAGGAAGATAGTTAAAGATATAACCGGGATCGACGAACATTTCATTAAGTGGATAAAATCAAAACCAAGTCCTCATCTCTATAAATTAAACTCATATAAGTCGTTCATCTTAGTGTTAATTAAATCAAATCAAATCAAACTTAAACCCTCCCTTGTTACTATTTATATAAAAGAAAAGTATTCCTTTCCTTGTGGATACGAACTTTACTTCACTATACCACGTATTAAAGTTGTATTGATTAATTATTTTGAGTGCACACTACGACAAAGTGCACGTCAGGACCACTATAAAAAATTGATGAAATAAGTCTAGGGTCGGCGAGGCACCGGTATCTTTACAACGGAAAATAAAGCCCGTCATTGCCCGATAGGAGTTCGGCATGACTTGGGCCGGTACAATTTCGTAGAAATTGAAAAATGAAACGAAAAAGGAATGCAATGGAAACCTAAACCCAGCCCTAATTGAGTCGAAGTGGACTACAACCATCCCAGGGGTATGGCACATTGGGTGAAGCCCAGCTCGTAATCGGAAGTCCACTGGGTCTGGGATTAGGGCCGGGATTTCGGCCCTGTTGTGAGAAGTCAGTTTTTGCCGCCTCTCCCTAATCAGTCTTAGGTCAAGCGTGGGACGAGGGAAATCGCTTGGACGTCCGGCCGCCATGGAAGCCAATTCATCATCACACTTGGTGTCGTCGGAATCTTCACCGGAGGAAGAAGAACTGCCGGAGGGATCCTCTGTCTCCGCCCTAGTCTCCGCCATCGCCGCATTGGAGCCGTCAACAAAAGGGACGGTGATAACCTCCACATCATGGTCTTCCCCTTGGGAAGCCATTACCGAATCGAAACGCAGTTGAGAACTCATACCGATCGGATCAAAGAAAAGAGAGAATTAAAGGGATGAGAAGTACCTGGACACGAAAGGCTTGAAGGGGTTGAGAGAAAAGGCAGAGCTAAGGCACGAAGAGATTGAAAATTCGAAGCCCGGATTCGAGGAGCTAAAGGCTAATTGATAGCCTTACAAGCGCCGTATTGAAGACCAATCAAATAGAGACACATCACTTAAACCATTTGAAATAACACGTGTCGCATGGAAGAGCAAAGATCAACAATCATGACGAATATGGGAAAACTCAAACGATTGCCGTCAAACCACAGTATGGGGAACTGACCATTTCTGTATCCCGATCGCCATTCGGCATTTATATTATGGCACTTATACTTCCTAATGCACTCACTATCATTCGAGATATCGGAAGTGGGGGACTCGTGTTGGGATATTGGCCCGGAAGCCCAATACCCGGATTAAAGGCCCAGGATATCCAGCCCAAACAACGAGCCACTATCCTATGATAAGTAGGCCCAGTGAGATATTCATGCCGAACGGGGTTCGGGTCATACATCATACTTGGTCCAAATCAACAATGTTTTACACAGGGCCCATCATCCCGTTCGGGCAACGGACAACCAGCAGGTGGTCAGGATAATCAATGCTAGATTGTGACATCAGCAAGTGAAGACATGGGTGATCAAGTCGGTGGAACGTCGGCCAATCAGCATAAAGCGTCACATACTCTCCATTATTATAAATAGAAGGTTTAATATCATTGTAAGGGTTATCATTTTAATACTCAAGCCCTAGAATAGCCTTATTACTCTTGTTTCTTGTATTTAGCACAAATCCGGCGTGCCGTTCGGGAAATTTCCTTGTAATCAAACAGGTTAATTAATACAAGTGGGTTTTTGAGCATTCGATTGTCCATCTTTTATATTTCTTGTACATACTGAATTATCGCCTATTTCCTGATATATCTAAAGTCTGTGTTGGGCTTTCGGATCTACGGGATTAAACCTCAACAGATGCCATCCGCTATTCAGACCCACTGTTTACCAGCGAAATGACATTTTTTATAACGCTGAACCGAGCAAACCCCTCCATTTTTTGGTGGAACAGCCAATATACAAAGGCACCCACTATCTATTTTATTTCACCGAGTCTCGTGCAATCCAGGTGGACTAACTAGTTTCCCATACGGGTGGGCGCGGTCCGGAATGATCCGGTAAATTGGTAAAACCCGTAATGTATCCGTGAGGTTTTTAACAGCCCGGTACGGTCCGGTTCCACGAATAGAACCGTTCGGTACCATGTCATTTCGGAACGGTACGAAACGGTACGGTACAATGCCAAACACATGCTAAAAATTTGAACAAATCTTGCAATTAGTAGATATCGTAACACCAACCAACTCACATGAAATGTTGATATAAATACAAGAAATTGCATACGTAGTACTAAAATTCACAAACACACAAATAAGTGCAACACAACTTAGAAAAAGTATAGCAAAACGATGACGCACGAGATAAATATCATCTTTAATTTACTAAGTTCATGTGAAAATGTAAAAACGAATATCATCAAATTGTTATATATAATAGAAATCTTCAACGTTCTTCTTCTTCGTTCTTGGTTAAAATATTACTCCGTAGTTCTGATTTAATTTATATTTGAACCTTGAGAGCTAAGATTTAAACCATATTAATTAAGTTGTAAAAATTTCACAAACATGATACAACAAAAAGTCATGTACACTACATTACTAGAAATGAACATAAATATTCTTTCAACACATACCAAAATGTAATATAAATTATCTAAAGAGAAAAATAACAATATATATATATATATATATAAACACAGATTTAAATATCTTAGAGACACATGAATACATACTTGGGCTATAAAATTATTTGTCTATAAAAGAGATCTATTGGTATAGAAAAATATAAAAAATTCAAGTGCATTATTTTCGAACGGTTCGATCCGATATTTTTTGGTTCTCAAAATCTAGGACCGGTCTCATACCCGTTTCAAATGGTACGGTTTCGGTACGGGATAAAAATCTATGGAACCGTTTAAATACCTGGTATTCGATTCGGTACCATTATGAGACGGTTCGGCACCGATTCAGTTCGGGTTTTATGCCCACCCCTAGTTTCCCAAATTAATACTCTTCGTGACTTTCTTTCTCCTCCTGTTGGTTTCTAACTTCCATTCCCATCTGAAGCTGCAGGCAACAATATCTCCCACTCCTTCTCCTTCTTCAAGGAGAAACTCATAATTAAGCACTGCGCTATCATATCCCTACTCAAAAAGATGTGATCGGTGTTCTATTTGTCGCACGAATCATTAAAAAATCAGCTCTTCGAACGCGCCCTGGGTTTAGTAGTAGCACTCTTACATGGATGGAATGTTTGGGCTTCAATCCCCGCCGGACTACGTCGACAGGCCTGTCATGCCACCGGACGGACTGTTTGACTGTAGCTACAGTTACCACGGCATGATTCCTTCACACGCGGGTGATCAAATTCCGATGCTCGGCTCCCACGACCTTACTGCCGCCGGCAGCTTCCATTGTTCACACGACTGCGAAGCCGGTTCCGTGACTGCCGATGCTCACTGGAGAGGCGGAGAACAGTTAGATGGTGCGGCTGCGGAGAGGGACGACCAAGGCTACGAAAACGACTGTATTAGCTTGATCAAAGCTCAAATCGCCGCTCATCCTTCTTATCCGAAGCTCCTAGAAGCTTATATTGATTGCCAGAAGGTTAGGCGACAAATTCAATAGTTTAAACGAACAATTCTAAAAAAATTGAGTATATGTAACCGTTTTGCTAAATATCTGGGTTCACTTCTCAGAACGTTTGATTTTTCTGATATCTGAAAGCTGGCATGATAATTTTGAATATGAAATGCAGCAAGTGGAATCTTATGCTTTCTAAAGTGTTCGGTAAAAGTCGTCAAGTGTATCTATGTATATAATCAAACGGACATGAAGATTGAAAAGCTTCTTCGTGGAGCCTATTGATGATGCGATCACAAGTTTTGTGGTGTTTTCAGGTAGGAGCGCCGCCGGAGATCGCAACGCTTCTGGATGAAATCAGGCGAGAAAACGACTTGCTTAAGCATGATGGTCGTGTGCCCGCGTGCTCTGGAGACGATATCGAGCTCGACATTTTTATGGTCTCTCTTTCTCTCTATCTCTTAACTTACAAGCACAGCTAGCGGAGCTTTCATATGCTCGTGTAACGTTTCTTTGTTTTGGTGGAGTCAATTATTCAAACAGTTTGTTTGCATCCACTTGAACTATTTGTATAATAAATTCCTTTTCCCGTCTATAGGAAACCTACTGTGACATCTTGGTGAAGTACAAATCAGATCTCTCGCGGCCATTCCACGAAGCTAAGAACTTCCTCAACAATATTGAGTCTCAACTCAGCAACATCTGCAAAGGTATCTCTCCTATTCCCTCCTTCTAGGCCGGGTCTTAAATTGCGGTCGCTTACTGCGGCTGCGGCTGCGGCTCTTGTAGTCGTTCTGATGCGTATTGCAATCGGTGCGGTGCGAAATAAGAAAAGATTAAATTCGTGTTGTAGTCTCAATGCAGCCCGATGGGGTCCTGTTGCGTTTTTTTAAGAAAATCGGAATTTCAACGCTCAATGCTGCCATAATATTGCAGCAGCAATGGGCGCTGCAGCCCGCAATTTCAACGCTCAATGCGCTCCCTCCTTTTACACACATGAAAATCGATTAAAAGTTAAGATGGATAATGAAAGATAGCTTTAAGGTATGGAAGCAGAACGAAACTTAAGACAGGTCTTAATGAGGTATAGTTAAGTCTTAGATTGGGAACTGTTTCTTCAAAAGGGCCCTCACCTGCTTTGCCCTTAAACGATGGTGGAGGACTATTCCTTTTGGTTTGGACTCTTTGGTTCGTCCGTTCTAGTGAATATGGATATTTTTTGTGAAGGGTACTTGTGGCTGAGTGTGACTATGTATTTTTCCATCTTTTTTACCGGGTTGGTCATATTCTAGGTTTCTTTGAGTACTCGCAACTCGGGTACTGATCTTGTTGAGTAGCTACCTAACTTGATCCGTGTTTTATTTTCGAGTTACTCGCCGAGCATTCGGCGAGTTTCTCAACTCGGTGAAGTTTTCAACTCGGCGAGTTCCTCGGTCTAACTCGGTTCCCCCTTAAAAATTTGAAAAATTAAGTTACAACACCTAGATTGAACGGAATTTCGGACATGTAATATCCTCCTAAAGCTGTGACTACAATTTCTCAATAAATTGTCATCTTTTTTCTCTTATCTTCCTGTCTCCCCTCTCTCTTTTCTTCTTCTTCCACCCTCCCATCCTTCAGTTGATTTTTATTTTAAAGTAACACACATATATTTTGATATAAATAAATTCTTTTCACTAGTATGACTATACATATATTATACTACGTAACTTTTAGTTAATATCACTATATTGATTGTTTACTGTGGCACATCATTGACTGATACACATTGTCACACATCATCTAATTGACAATCATGAGCTCTACTCAGTCTGTTGAGGCTTCTTATAGGGCTGAATATGCTAATACTACATTTAAGAGAAAATCAGATGATATAGGATGGACATGGAGAGAGAACATAGATCTTACGAAATTATTAGATGATTGATTTTCTTGAAAACATAGAATGTTTATGACTTTTGTAACTCCGTCATTAGCATTTCTATCATTTTATTAATTTCCATGCATTTTAAGATAATTTTAAGACTATTATATTTCTAAACTCTCTGGCACTTATGTTATTAAATTTAATTAATACAAGGCCGAGTAATCATCGAGTAATTGGTCCTACTCGCTACTCGGTCCTTGACCGAGTTACTACCGAGTAGCAACTTAACTACCTAGGTCATATTCATATATAAGAAGTTGCAAACCTTAGAGCACCCACTTTGGGAAGGTCATTCGGGATCAAAAAAGAAATTGATGGCACTTTATCCCCACTATGGAAGCGTCAAAATGCAAAGTTGAGAATGAGATCCGACAAACATTTTTTGACTACCCGATAGAGAAAGCCAAGTGGTTTTTTATTTATAAAAAAGAGTAGCATACAAACCGATGATTTCTCTTCCCAATCAAGGTAGCAACCAACCCCATCAACTATCCCCTAACTCACTAATTTAATTTATTATTCATTAAATTTAATTTATTGTAAAAAAAATTATACTAAAAAATTAAATTGTTTTTTCTCTATAATGAAGGATATGTTTAGTCTGAAATTTACCACTTCTTTCCCTCTTGCATCTTATTTTAACTGTTATAGAATATATTTTTCTCTGAAAATGGATCCAACCCGTTCTCTACCTAAATACAATGTCAACAATAAATAATTATGGTGAGTCAAATGTGGATTTATATTCCTTTTTCAAATTATATACTACGTACATTAATAATGATGGAATATACCAAAAATATGGAGAGAGTGTGTAAGAATTTTAAGTGACAAGGTCACCATAGTGGGGAGAAAGTTTGATAAGTTAGACTGTTAGAGGGACTAAGTTTTTTTTTGAAATGATGTGGATGAATGAGGAGGGGATCACATGGCATTACCATAGTGAATGCTCTTAGTGAAAAACATATTGCTACCGGTGGGCGTAGCTCAAGTGGTAGCAAAGGAGTGTCGCAAGGGTTAGATCCCAGGTTCGAATCCCGGCAACTGCGATGAGGGGTTATTATGCTAAAAATGCATAGGGCCTCTGCAAGTACCGGGGACAGAGCTTCACTCTCTATCTATCAGATTGTGATTATAGTTAAATTTACATCCTCCCAACGTATCGTCCGGTCGGGATTGGGGACCCTTCGGGATGGGGTGTCATCCTTTCTAGTGAAAAACATATATTGATCCTTCCAATTTTTAAATGGAGTGTGTTTTTTCCCGCTCCTCTCTTTCATGCCGGAGGAAATGAAGCGTGCACCTTTTGGTTCTGATTTTGACATTTCACACTTGAAATGACTTATTACTACAGTATCTTCCATGTTTGGAACCGCTGATTGTACTACGCAATACGGTAATATAAAAAACAAACAGTAAAACAAACTCATTTATATTTGGTCCAAAAGGTTGAATGTCCAACCCCAAGGCCCCCACCTGACCCAACAGGATGGTGGGAAGGTTAATCACGGTAACTCAGTCAGCAAAGCGGTGGTAGGCTTTATACATGTGTGCACCAGAGGTCCAGCCTTATTTCAGGTTATGTAATCTCCACACGGCCGTTGCGGATTTTGAACCTTGTCACTTGATTCAATTTTCCCACCACTCGACCAACTGAGCTACTCGTGCGGGTAAACGAACTCTTTTATAAGACTCATTTACTGTGGTGTTTTTTGAATGTATTTCTATGATTGGAGAAAACATTCATTGGTAAAAAGGTTCCAGTTTAAGACCTTTACCAATGATTTACACTACACTGCCAAGTTAAAGTTATGTCTTATTGGGAATGCTTCTTTGCTACATATATAGTGTACCAAAACACCAACTCAGCTTTATAGTAATGTATAATAGACTATTACGGAGTATTATTATTAGAAGCACTAGTTATAACTTTAGCTCAATTGAACATGAGCTAGTTTGGTGACCTTTGTGTACGTTCCTTAACAGAAAATAGGTTATTATTAGAATAAACTTTGTGTTCTTTACCAATAACTGTTTTTATCAAATGTTAACTTTCCATTTTGCAAGCTAATTTGTGTAGCAACCAAAATAAATAAAGTTAAAACTACTTTTGTATTGAATTGCTGGATTTTGTTGAAGATGACTATTTTAGCTATTTTATGGCAAAAAATAATCAACTGTTATATTAATAAAATACAGAGTAGTATATTGTAGATATAGTTTGTTCAGAATTCAATAGTTTCAGCTAGAATTCATTAAGCTCAAATTCAATCGATTCAACCAATTTTAATGTTATCAAATGGGATTATACTCAGTATTTTATTTACATAAATTTTTTGTATGTAGCTGGCCATTTTCTAATTTCTTTCTTTACTTGCCTTTGTCAAATGTATGAAATATAGTGCAGGAATATTTTCAAATATGGCTTATTTGGCATTGAAATATAGTTATTTAACTTAGTTGGACCGATGCTATGTTAGTCTATTACTCCGTAGTTAATACTATCTATGTTCTCTTTTAAATGCAACATTAGACTTTTTGCATTATTCACATGTTATGCGTTGGTTCTATTTTATTTATATTGTTAATTAAATTTAAAAAAATATTGTTAAATTCCTCTCATTTTAAATTTTCAAAATGTACATTTTTAAATTTTTTACTAATAAAGAATGAAAAATATTAATGGTGAAAGTTGTTCGTTGGAAAACGTGAAAAGTGAAATATTGCAATTAAACATGAATAGTATCTTGGACTTGGCCGAAACAGTACCGGTAGATTTCTGAAATGATCACTTTGACCTTGGAGTGCGATTGTGTCGTTGATTGAAATTATTTTTGAATATTATCACCTCAACCCCAAGTCAGCTTTATAATAGTACTCCGTAATACCTTTATCTCAATTTTTTATCATTCTTTTTTCTTTTTACGTATTTCAAAATAAACTTCATTTTGTTTTGGTGGAAAAATTTGTGGTTTATATCGATCATTTTTCTATTTTTTATAACTTTTCATCATACAATTTTCATTTTCTTAATCTTGTGTAAATAGAAATTAATATGGGGACTAGGGAGTAATGTATTTTATTATTATTATTAGAACTTAGAAGTAGTGAAGTACAAGACTTTCTCTTTAGCTCAATGATCACTATATTGTTGCTTTTCTTTTAACCTGTTTTGTTATTAATTCGCCTATTAGAGATGATAATGGCGTAAGTCACTTTTAAAGATTCCAGTTTAAGATATTGATACGGATTATATTTTTTCTAAGCATGCATGAAATATCTGCAATGAATGTTTTGAAGGAGTTTGTCTATGTTTCAGTGAAGTGTCAGTTTGCTGTCATTTCCTCCCAATTTCATACCCTTCCCAGCCATTTTTTTAAATTGTTCGAATCACTAATATGCTTTTATTGACCTAATCGACTGACCATGAAAACAAATGAAAATGGCACTTATGCTCTTGGACAGTGTTTTTTGAAGTTATTACGAACTTAATTATATGTATACTATTTTTATACTAGTACTCTTTCCATATTGTCTCATTTTTACTGTTTCAGTCTCTCTCACTAAGATTGTCTCACACCAAATTTAGTAAAATTTGTGTGGTTCTAAATCATTTTTACTTAATGCTTACTTTATCAATTCAATATCAACTACATAAACTAATTTTATTAGCTTGCGTGAGACTTTTTCTTGTCCATTGTTAGTGGGACGAAAGGAGTATTATTCACCAATTCAACCATAATTTCAGTAAATCAAGTCATTTCAGCCAAGTGCACTCTTATGATCTTATCAAAGGCACTTTAATTTTGAGTTAAAGTCGCATTTGATTTAAGCTCTAGATTTTGTGCTTATCAAAATACTATGGGGACTTTTAAGCCTTTTGCCACTGAAAGGGACTTTTGAGTTAAAGTCGCGTTTGATTTAAGCTCTAGATTTTGTCTGCATCTTCACTAGTGTGGAGATCACGCTGCGCCCATTGATATTATTATGACGTTAATTATGAGTAAATTTGTGGAGCATGTCGAAGATTTGCTCCATAATGCGCATGTTTATGAGATGTTTTAAGATTCGAGTTTCACTCATCAAACTAATAGGAACTCAAAATCTTATACTAGTATACAATAGCCAAGTTACGTTACTTCTCAGGCCATAATGGGCCGGACAACATCAAATGGGTCAAACAAACCGTAACAAGTCACAGATTAAGACACATGGTTCCATTTCAATCTCATAATAAAGTATCCCAAACTCTTATATAGAAATTTATTATTTTATAAAATTTGGGGTGAAACAAATATATCAACAAGATAGATGGCACAAAATGCATTTATCTCAAAATGATCGACTTTATTTATATGCATCCACTTCAATGATCAACCTGTTCCTGATATGATGCTGGTTTAATTTCGTGTTATAAATTGTCATTAATTATGGGATGAAATGATGAATGTATTGGTGTCCCGTTTTTCTAAATAATTTTTAGTAATAAATATACAATTCTTTCAATTTATATAGATGATACTTCTTCCATCCACTAAAGTTTGGACAAAAAATTTATGATTGATGTTTGTGGGAAAAATAAAAAGACTATAAATAACTTTAACAACATATCTATTATTTGAGGTGACAAAGTTCTTTGTAGAATTAACTAATAAAGAAAGTTACGAATTGGTCCAACGGGGTTAGACCGTTAGACGGTTAGAATTGATTGTATTAAAACGTGTGGTCAATCGTGTTTTCACTTTGAGCATTTGGTATGGTTTACATCCAAATTTGCACCATTAGCTAGCTTGAAAAAATGTTGCCCAAACATATTTTCATGAAACAGCCGTTTTACGTAGTACAAGTTTGGTATAACTAAATTCAGTCTCATAAATTTAGTCTCATACCGTCTTATAAATTCAGTTCCGCTAACATCGTTCCATTTTATCTTTTTGGAGAAATTCCACTAAGATTATCTTATACCAAATTTAGTAAAATTTATGTGGTTTTAAATCAATTTTACTTTATTTTTACTTAATTAATTCAATATCTACCACATAAATTCACTTTTCTTAATAATCGTGTCACTTTCTCTTGTTCCAATGTTAGCGGAACAGAGATAGTAGTTTTGTTGGTCAATTTTTCTAGAGGAAAAGGTCAAATGAGACGTTCTACTATTATGAAATCGTCATATAAGGTCATATAGTCAATAAAGTGTCATATAAATGCGTATACTTATAAAGTGCAATTGGATGAGTTCTAACGACCTATTGACAACATCGTAATCTTTTGACTATCTTTTTTAAAATAAATTATTAGGCTGATGTGAACATTTGATCAGGAACGACTTAAATACCAGACAAAAATAAAGACACTACCTCTCTCTCTTATAACTTTGTCATCTTTCTTTTTTTTATTGTTCCAAAAACTTTGCCATTTTCCATTTTAATCAATGAATTTGTGATTCATGTTATTTCTCTCCTTTGCACAAAACACAATAACACAGTTTTTGCTTGATTATTCCATGTGTCAGTCAAACATTGCAAAGTATTGAAGGACGGAGGAAGTATAAGCTAAAATCAGGATTAGGAGGTTGTGAACAGATCATTTGTATACATCATGTATACAAATGATGTGTATTCTCTTACACAATTTGACTAAGTAACACATCATTTGTATACACGATGTATATTCTCTTGCACAATGTGACAAGTAACACATCATTATTTGTATACACAATGTAGCTAGTATACTTTTCTTTCGCGTATGAATTCTTTATACATCATTTATTTCAATGCTCGGAGTAGTATTGAATCAAACTTGGGTGAAATGAAATAAATGGACTTTTTTTTCTTCAAGAAACTTATTTTTTTTGTATCATTTTCAATCATAACACAAAAATGTATCTGCACAACCATAATGCAGTGTATTTGATATTTTTGATTTTTTATTAAAACCCATAATGTTTTGCACTGTAAACATTTTTTGGATTTTTTTTTTTTAAATTCTTGACTTTTATATTTCTGATTATTCTTGATGTTTATCTAAAATTGAAACCGTATCATGATCTCTTTTTTTATGGATCGATATACAGAGTATTTTGCATTTTATTTGTCTTACTTTCCTTTTTTGGTTGATCCGAAATAAGTGTTCATTTTCTTTTTTAGAAAAAAATATGTGGTCTACTGTATTTCACTTTATTATATTCAAATTGTGATGGAAGTTTTTCCTTTTTCAATCATTTTATTAATAACTGTGTTAAACTAAAGTAGGAGTGGAGTGTAGACACATAACGGAATATAATGCCCTATTTTTGTTTTCAACTTTTTATTTGGGTGAGGAGTCAAATTCATACAACCTAATTTCCACATGGTTTTTTTCCTCTATTTTCCATTTAAATTACCTCAATATATATTTATTTTATTTTTTAGTGAATGATTTATGATATGTGGCGAGTCCTGGAAAATGGGAGGAGCATGCTTCATTTATTGCACTTTTTGTTTGAGCGCCTCAGTTGGCTCGTTGTGAAGTGGAGGGGATATAGCGGGGTCCATTAGGATTGAACTTTTTTGGAAAAGCCGGAGGAGCCGGGGATAGCCCCTTTGTAGAGCTTCATTCACATGCACTCCCATTCTTAGCGCTGTCCTTTTCTTGTGTTTCAACTTTTTCAATACTTCATTTGGATTTT